GAAGTTTTTCTTTAGTTTACCCCCCAAAAGACCTTTAACGTGGCTGATAGCCTCATAAGTAACTTCAAGATCTGTGTACTTCGAGATGGTAGTCTTTTCATCTTTTCTTCTGCTTTTCGGTCCTTCTGCCCACCTTTTGCTGTGCTTTGCAGGACAGTCTTTGCCAAAGACAAATGATCTCGTGACATGTCCACACCATTTCAGTCTGCGTCTTGTCATAGTAAACAACAGAACATCACACCGCTCACCATCCCGCCAAATCTGTGCGTGGAAAAGGTAAATTTTGCACTCAAGAGACGTTTTATTCACTTGATGTGGAGCGGGAAAGAAGGGGAAGTGGGTGTGGCGCTCATACTGTCGGTTGTTGACCATACGCTCTATACCAAATACTTAATTAGAATACGTCAGACAACACAGGGCAATTTGAGGACATTCACAATCACAATCTTCATAATCAGAATTTTTGGAAGGTTGTACTAATCGCCTCAAAAGAGTTTGCCGAAGCAAATGGTTTGTTTCAGCAGTTGGCAATGATGGTGTGCAGTAATTAGACTCGTCGATGTTTTTTTTGTCTTCATCTCCACCGTCAACCCTTACTTGTATCAACTAATTTAGTTGAACTGCATGTAGTAGTTAGACTCTCAGATTCATTACCGTAAGGCCATGGGCTCGAATCCCGTCATAGACCCGACGTTGTGTCCTTGGAAAAGACACTTTGCACGAATTTTCCTCGCTTCACTCAATTGGGAATTGATGGGTAGGCTACCTAGGTATACAGGGTTAAAGATCTTGTCTGTGTGTTAATGTTTTAGCACGTGCAATCTGAAGCTTACACTCTATACTTCCAGGGAAGCCGAGGATGTTTCTGAGAGTTCTAGGGTCTTCTGGGCGTAAAAATGGTTGCAAAGTGCACAGAGCATGCTCTAAAGCGTGGATATGCGCTATATAAATGTGATTATCATTACAATTATCAGGAAGAGCATGCAATAGAAATCTGCTATTAATGTTTCATATAGAATTTTTTCGGCAGGACTGTTCTCCCTCTAAATTCAACCAACGATTAGGAGTCTGTGATGTACACATTGTAAACAGTTTTTTTAAAAAGACGTTAATAGCAATTCTTGTAAAAATAAACTTGGGCCTCATTCGGAATTTACAATAAATCCTGGGTTTCCACTCTCCGTGCAGCCACTTTTGGGTCGCCGTAATGTCATGGTTAAAAGCATGCGATAAAGTAGAAGTATAATAGTAGTTGTTGTAACTTGATTAGTAGAAGTAGTAGTAGTAATAGTAGTAGTAGTAGTAGTAGTAGTAGTAGTAGTAGTAGTAGTAGTAGTAGTAGTAGTAGTAGTAGTAGTAGTAATAGTAGTAGTAGTAGTAGTAGTAGTAGTAGTAGTAGTAGCAGGAGCAACAATAGTAGTAGTAGTAGTAGTAGTAGTAGTAGTAGTAGTAGTAGTAGTAGTAGTAGTAGTAGTAGTAGTAGTAGTAGCAGCAGCAGCAGCAGTAGCAGCAGCAGCAGCAGCAGCAGCAGCAGCAGCAGCAGTAGCAGTAGTAGTAGCTCACAGTGAAACAACCCTACAAACAATGATGAACCACCTGTCCACAGCATGCAAGGTCTTCAGCTTGGCCATCAGTGTTAAGAAAACAGTCGTCCTTATTCAGGAAGGTGCAGAGCAGAGACATATTTGGCTGAACAACTAGGAACTTGAGACAGTGAACAAATTCTGTTACCTGGAGTCTAACATCAGCTCTACTACATCACTTGACGATGAGATCAACATCAGGATAGGGAAAGCAGCAACAACTTTTGGAAGGCTGACAAAACGAGCAAGTGAAAACAAAAGATTAACCATCAAAACAAATATCAAGACTAACGATGCATGTGTCCTCAGCACATTCCTTTATGGATAATATGAAACATGGACATTACACAGCAGGCAAGAACAGCGCTTCGACATTTTCCATCTCAGATGCTGCCGCAAGATCTTAGGCATTTCGTGGCGCCACAAGGTCACCAGTATTGAAGTGTTGGCCAGGGAAAACCTCCAGAACATGACAATTATCCTGTGTTTAAGAAGATTGAGGTGGCAGGGCCATGTCAATAGAATGGACGACAACTGGATTCCGAAGCAACTTCTCTATGGAGAACTTGCCTTGGGAAAGAGGCCAAGAGGAAGGCCAAAACTGGGGTACAAAGAAACCCTGCAATAAAACAGCTTACATAAGTTTGGAGTAGAAGTCAGCATCTTTGAAGAAATAGCTGAGAACAGGAAAACATGGAGGAAAATGACAAAGGAAAGAACTATAATGCCAGAGAGCAGCCTCAGAAACAACTAGATTGAGAAGCGCCAACGACGAAAGGAAAACAACGGAAATAGAGAGCTTCGATCAACGACACTAACATGCAAGCACTGCGACAGAATCTGTGCTTCAAACATAGGAAGAATTAGCCATGAAAGAAGCTGCATGAGGACAACCTTGACATGAGACCAAGCTAAATTAACCGTCTGCATAGACAAAAAGAGCCATACAGTAGTAGTAGAAGCAGCAGCAGCAGTAATAGTAGTAGTAGTAGTAGTAGTAGTAGTAGTAGTAGTAGTAGTAGTAGTAGTAGTTTTTGTTGTTGTTGTTGTTGTTGCTGCTGTTGAATAAAGAGAAGCGCATAGACACAATGCCAATGTGATTTAATGCTGGGAAAAAGTAAGAGAGACAGACAGACAGAAACAATAGAAGAAATGTAAAACAACCAGTTCGTTGAAAAATTACAAGAGATCGAAATCAACGTAATGTACATGTATTTAGACACATTACTATGGTAATAATAATATAGTACACAACACGAAAGAGAAAGTTTGCATTGTTTAATATTGATGACTGCCCCTTACTTATATCGAAAGCAGAACATGTACACTCACATAGACACAAAGAGACACGCACGCGCGCGCACACACACACACACACACACACACACACACACACACACACACACACACACAAACACAACACAAACACACACACAACATCACTATGATTTTTTTTTCTCTACGGTTAAAGCTGCTGACACAGAGAACCCATATAATTAATCCGTGATTTTTTTTCACACATAAGATCGACACAGAGATAAATCATTAGTTTCTTTTATGGGGTCTATTTATAGTTTCCTCAGAACCCCAAACCTAGAGGCAAAAGTAACGAGTTGAGATAAAATAATAAGGATAAATCTTGAGAAAGAAAATGCCTAACAAAAAGTATCTTGATATCAAATGCGTTCAAGCACCTTCAAATTGAACTTTTCTTTGGGTTTACTAAGACCCAGAGATTTTTACTTGTGTACCTGAGCATTTTATAATTAATACTGATCTAACATTTGATGTTGTCAACTTAAGTAGACTACGAAACCTAACAAAATGTACTGAGTTTTCGGTTTTGTTTTGTTTTATTTTTAGTGCGTTTTTTTTTTTTGGGGGGGGGGGATCATCATCAAGGGTCAGATCTGTAACAGACATTGGCGATCATGATTTGCCATTCATGTCTTTGTTTGTATGCTCTTAAAAACAGAAATGGCATTTGTATCGACCTAATTGTTTATTAATGAGCATCCCACGTCGACATCGTTGTCATATTACATTACTGTTCTAAAAATTCTAAAACTGTGAAGATGTTGGGGCAGGTTGTCTCTTCTACTTGTACATTCTATTATTTCATCACAAAACGTGCGACTGTCAGCTGTTGTTTTGTTCAGACGTCAGCTGAATTATTGGACCACTCTGCGGAGCGTTCAATATGAACTCTCACAGCGATGAAAAAACAACAACACACAAACTGCCAAACTTAGCTGCTGAATAATTCGACAAAAGAGTATGGAGATAATCATGTTTGTGCTACTCATAATAAAAGATTAATAATCTGAACAGGTGGATAAAAAACTGCCTATCAGTTTGTAGTATATGTGTGGGATTTTTCTTCTTCAAATTCTCTTTTAAAGAGAGGAGGCAATTCTTTGGTAAGTTGAGCAAGCAGATGTAAATTTTAGGCAACTCTGAACTAGGGGGATCAGGAGTATTGTTACGGGAATAACGATTAAGGGAGAAAGTTTTTGTGATGTGTTGAAAGCCCCCACCCCCTCCCCAAGCCAACCCAAGCCCGCCCCCACCCCTTCCCTTAGACCCTGATCAATAGATTATAATTATGGCATCTTCCCTCAATATATCACATACACGCACTAAGGAGAGTAAATAAGACAGTGGGGTCACAACATCCAATGCTTTGAAATGGCTATGGGGTACACCGACTTTTGTTCAAAATACATCATATACAAAATAAAACAGAATCCATCCACACACATACACACACACATTTACAGACGCACACATGAACAAGCACAAACAAACAGAATTCTATCCGCACTGTCAATTCAAGCTTATAATCAAGAGTAGTATTATGTACAAAGGCATTTCAAAGCAGCTGCAATGTGTTCCTTTCCCAAACGGCTTTACTGACTTGGGTAGTGGGACTATAGCGTTGTCGGGAGGACCCAGTTACAGTTTCAGAGATGGTATAAATACAGGACAAGCCTAAAACAAGAACAGAAGGAACAGTGAGAGGTGTGTGTGTGTGGGGGGGGGAGAGAGAGAGAGAGAGAGAGAGAGAGAGAGAGAGAGAGAGAGAGAGAGAGGGAGAGATAGGAGGGGAGAAGGTGGGGGATAGATAGACAGACAGACAAACAGGTGGATAGATAGATAGAAAGATAGATAAATAGATAGAAAGACAGACAGACAGACAGACAGACAGACAGACAGACAGACAGACAGACAGAGAGAAACGCCAAGACACAGATGGAGACAGAAATATCTACAGTTCAACCAAGTAAAGAAACGGAAGGAGTATGACTAACAGAAAAGAGAAAGCACAAATCCATTGAACACAATAATTATATTAATATGTGTCGTCTAAAAACATTGACAATTTGATTATACAAGACCCTGTTACGCAGCAGCTGATTTTGTAATCTATAGTCACGACATTCTATCTAGGACAGATTTAGTCACCACGTCACTCACATTTGCTCATTACAGACCTACATAGGCTCCAAAATGAGCGGGAAAAAAGACTAAAGGTTTCACAGAGGCAGTCGGAGGGTGGAGCAGGTAAATCATTGGCTCCTTTACCATTTTACATCATAATATGTGTCGTTCAAAACGGACACAATAATACAGACACAATTTTTGTCACCGACCAAAAGTAACTCTTGCTTATCAGTGAGAATGTCCCAATTACCCCACACTCGCCTCCTTTTTCCTAAACATAGTTGGCCTATTCTGTCGCTTTACATGTTTCACCTGCAGGCCTGTTTGGCAATACGTGTCACTTTGCGGCATTGTACACGGCTCAGTTGTTCTATTGCCGAAAACAATCTTCCCCATTATTATAGGAACCACCACATAAATAATTTTCTTCCAAAATCCTATTATCTTTTTCTTGTCATAAGAGTGCACAGAATCTTTTTAAAAAAAATCAATGCAGGTGCTTTTTGTTTAGCCCCCAAAGGAAACAATTTATATCAGGACAGCCTGACTCTTCTTGAAACTGAACAAGGATATCCGCTCCGTCCCCCTTTTTCGGTTTTACCAAACCTGGCCCCTATTCCAAACACCAACTATCTTCCTTTGTGTCTCCTTACCTCTCTCCATCACTCCGTCTTTCTTCTTAAGCACATGTATATCCAGACCTTGGGCCTTGTTCCAAATCTATTTTTCATTAAAGATCACTATAACGTAACTTTAGTGACTAACCATAAGTTACTAATTGTCGTAAATGGGAGAGACAAGGGGAGAGAGAAAGAGGGGGTGGGGGGGGGGGTATTCATTTTGTTTGATTACGATGATTGGTTTTCAAGAAAGGCAAGATTTTTTTTTTACGCCGAAAGGGCAAAGTCTGTAATTATTAAAATAATTGGTCTAGATGCGAGTTATTGCTTTTTCTGAAGTTTGTGTCATGAGTGAGTGGATTATAAATGGATAATTAGGTCGGTCCTGGGATCTGCTTTAATAATGGGTGACCTGAATGTACGTAAAACTATTATTCATATTATTACAGCCATCGTAAGTTCCGGTCAATCCTAATTGATAAGCCCCCCTCCCGCCTTCCATCTCCGCCTCTTTTGGACCAATATTTGTTGACGTGGCCGACGATGATGTGGTCATTAATGCTTCTTGTCCCCGTCCTTGGGGTCTTCCTTGTGGCGACACACGAGCACGGGAACGGGCGAGTGGTGGATGATGTAGTCACTCACGCTGCCCATGATGGTGCGACGGATCTTGCTCAAGCCACGAGTACCTGGGGTAAAAAGATAACCAGGTGAAAACAGAATTCGTTTCTTTGTTTGTTTGTTTGCTTGTTTAACGTTTGTTTGTTTAGTGAAAAGAAGCACATCGCACAAATCTTGTCGGAGCTTTATGTAACCGAGACAAAATGAGAATTTGTTTGTTTGTTTGTTTGTTTTGTTTGCTTTCTATAATGATCAAAAGCCCATTGCACAAATCTTGTTAGGGGCTTTATGTAAATGAGACAAAATGAGACGAAACAAGATAAAGTTGGATAGGTCCGTTTAAGAAGGAGAGAGGTTTTAAAGGTAAACTTGAGTCCTCACTTAGGAATTTACTATTTAACGAAAATCGGGGTCTACACTCTCCCTCTCCGAGGGGCAACATTTGGGATGGAGGTGACGTCATGCGCGAAATACTTTTTAAAACTTATTTAAGAATGGGGGAGTCGAATTTGACTTTTACTAGATAAGCTGTGTTGTTCATGCTTCTCTTATCAAAACGGGAGATGTTTCTGGGGCAGTGGACACTGGTCATGAGATTAGATATAGACTGCGCTCTCTGGCGTAATTCCGTTTCATTATGAAGCGCCCCATTTGACTCAATTTGGAACCCAATTATAAAGGACAAGGAGGAAAGGTTGCACCCCCACCGACTTAAACGAGACTGGTCTGTTGCCCTTCACTTGGGCGCCCCTGGCGCGCACGCTTTGCTGCAGAGCTTTTATTGAGGGCAAAGAGCGGCAGTACATGGTCTTGGATATTATGATTCAAGTCTTTTGGGTGAGAGGTAGATCGACATAAGAAGGGAGAATAAAGAGAAACGACCTAAACTGACTAAATGGTAGGCTGAAATAAAATGTGATCATGCTGTCGGTACATGGTTCATGTTGAGGCTGTATATTGTGGGTAAAATTAAAATTCGGATTAGATGAGATAAGACCAGAGTCAGGCTCAATTAAAATATTATGCTTTTATAGAAATCTATGGATGAAACAAGACTGGTTAACGTCTTCACTACCAGGCATGCTGTATTATCCTGCAAAAGAGCACATACCGTCGAGGAACAGGCAGTGAAAGGGTTAACATGAGAAGGAAGTAGGCTAGAAAGATGGCCAGAGAGATGGAAAGCTTTGCTGTCAACGGAAGGCCGTAAAATGCCAACACCACAAGAAGTAAGATGAGATGGGACCGGCCAAGATGAGATATATTAACATGTGTATGAAGAGTTGAATAAGACCTGATGAAATGAAATAAATCAAGATAAGAATAGCGGAATCAATTCTTTAAAAAATATTTCAGAAAGAAAATAAGGTAAATCGATGGACCATTCAGAAGGGTGCTGTTTGTATCTGTGATTAGATCTCCCAGTTACAAAAGTAGATGGACAAGTTGAGATCGAGTCACACATGAAGAAATAAGTCACTTTGCCCTCCGCTTCCTCCTTCACTGATTCCCCCCCCTCCCCCCCCCGCCCAAACCGTTCCTCCTCACCTCCCCCTCACCTCTTCCCTCCCAAAGTACTCACCCGTGACAATAAAGGTCACATTTCTGGAGGTGGCGCATTCAATGATGGAGTGTCCTGGCTTGTCCCCATCCAGACGCACGAACTCTCCTTGGATCTGACACGGAAAGATTGATGGGGTGAAAGTAGGGGGGTAGGTATTTAGAGGGGAGACACACGTACACACACATACACACACATGCAGGCACACAGACAGACAGACAGAGAGATAGACAGATAGACATACATACATACACTCACACACATACACACACACACACACACACACACACACACACATACACCCTCTTTCTCTCCCTCCCTCTCTCTCTTAACTCCCCTTTCTCTCTTTCTCTCCCTCCCTCCCCCCC